AGATGTGCAAAAAGTAGAGAGAAAAGAGAACCTTTGACTTTTTGATATGGGTTGTTGGCTTTTTAGCTTTTTTAGGCTTGGTTGGGAAGTGGGTTGACTTTTTGGTTTTTTAGCTATTTTAGCCTGAGTTAAAAAACTAGTTTGGGAAGGGCTTTTTGACTTTTTGACTTTGTTGACTTTTTTTTGTGAGAGAATAGTGTAATGATTATGGGTTGGATGTGATATTTTGTTTGTTGTAACTAAAATAGCCTATTTTGTCTTTTGTGGCTAAAATAGCCAAAAAAACCTCAAATCTTGCTTCCCACACGGTGCCTTAGTAATTTTTTAGCTTTTGGCCAAATGAGACGCTTTCCAAACGAGGCTTAAATATGAATTTATCTATTAATTTTTACTCAATTTGAAATTGAAATTTAATTTGAAAATAGGCTGACTTAATATTATATTTAAAATTTGAAGTTGTGAAAAAAATGAATGACATATATATATACAGCAATGATAGGGACCCCCTTTGTGGAGGACCCCCACAACCCCCTTTGTGATCCACACCATTCATGATGTGGACCCCACACATATATGAGTAGACCCCACACATCATGAATGGTGTAGATCAGTAAGGGAGTTGTGGGGGTCCTCCACAAAGGGGGTCTGACTCATTTTTATAAACTAAAATAACCAAAAAATCAAAAGGTCAACCCACATCCCAAACGAACCCTAAGGAGTTTTTAGTTTTTTTAGAGTATCACAATATACTCGCCACTTTGTCACTTTTGAAAAAAATACACTATGAATTTTTTAGTTTTTTTGGAGTGTCACATCATATCCGCTGCATTAGAGTGTTACATTAATACCTACCACATTAATAAAACAAGCATCACCTTGGAGGAGGTAATTGAACAAAATCTTTCTGAGAACTTTGAGCTTTGTCTATTTGTCAAGTTTTCTGACTTAGGCATCGGAGAGGTTTCCGGCACACACCCGCCGGCTAGCTCACGTTTGTGTTTTCAGGTGACAAAGCGACGTCGTACGGAGGAGCGTGGACTTGGTCAACAGGATTATACGAGGAGAATTATTTCCTCCCCGTACAATTACATAAATTTACTATATTTTAATTTCAAATTAAAAAAATAACATTTTAAAAGTATTTAGCTAGTTCCAAATAGAATTTTCTTAGCAAAAAGGAAAGTTATAAAATTTTGTTGCTAATTTTCAAATGTCTATTGTTAAACATTCTATTCTGCTTACTTGTTTATTTACTTGCTTGCTTTTAGAGTTTTGATCTTTGATCTTTGCTCCATTATTCATCGCATTGTTTTATTTATTTTTCTTTTTCTTGCTTGATTTTGACATAATACTTTTTTCATAGACCATCTCCGAGTGTATTAGTAAAAATATCATACACTTAAAATGCACAAAATTACAATATATTAAAAAAAAGGTAAGTAATTGCCCATAACTAAAATTACTTTAAAAAAAATAAAAAATAAAAACAAAAGTGAAATTATTTGAAATAGAAAATGATTTATTTATTAATTAATTAATTTTTAAAAATAAACTTATAAAGAAAACAAAAAAACTTTATATATATATATATATAAAAGGTACAAAAACTAGACATAAAATATAATACAAAAAATAAATGAATTATAGGATTTTCAAAAAGTGAGACTCACAAATAAATTTTGTAAAATCTTGTCTATTCAAATACTTTTTATGTATGTTTTTTTTGTACTTCTAATCTTGAAAATGCCATTGAAATCGTTTGTATTTCTTGCATTAGGTCCATCTAATAGTTTTAGCAAGCACAGACGTGATAAATTTCATAACACAAAACACAAACAATTGTGAGACAAAGTATCTCAAATAAATAAAAGCAACGTTCAATGATAATATAGAAGCACACCTGACATTTTAATTGGATGTATAATCAGATAAATTATTGTAGAAAAGGAAGACAACCTTTGTTTTTCATCACAACAATTCCATAACTCAATATATAATTTTTATGTCTCTCACTTTTTCCCACGTCCAATTCTCTATCAATATTAAAATGAATGCATGAACTAAAAAAAAAGAAACATTTGAGAAGGCAAAGAGATGTAGTTGAGACTTTTCAATTGCTGAATTCTATTAATTAATAATTATTAGGTTTTAATGGTCGGATTTTTAATATTTGCTAACCATTAAAACTGAATTTATTGGTTTCATCTATATTCACTTAATAATTTGGGAGTAGACATGTGTCAAGCCTTTACACAAATATTTGGCATATTTTATGAACATTATTAATGAAATGCATAGTGTAATCTCTCTCTCTCTCTCTCTTCTTTTTTTTTCCTCCCAAATGCAACATATTATTTTTTAATAAGATTTTATATTTGTTTCAAATATTTTTTTAATATACAAATTATTTTTTACAATGTAATTGTTTTCTCTTTTTTTTTAAAAAAAAAATTGCAACTTGTTAATTTTTAATAAGAATTTATATATGTTTTAGAATTTTTTTTTAATGTAGAAATTATTTTTTTTAGATTTTAATGAAATGAACAGTGTAATTTTTTTTATGCAATTGCAACATTTTATTTTTTAATAAGAATTTATATTTGTTTTAGATTTTTTTAATATATTTTTTAATATGCCAATTTTATTTTTTTTAGATTTTAATGAAATGCACAGTTTCTTTTTTTTTTTTTTTACAATTGCAACTTGTTATTTTTTTAATAAGAATTTATATTTTTTTAGATATTTTTTTAATATACAAATAATTTTTTAAAATTTTTTATAAAAATAATTTAACAATCTCATCACTAACCATAGTGTATGGGAGAAGTTGAAAATGGTGCGATAGTAAGTATGAGAGAAGTCAAAAAGATTTGTGGATTGGAAGAAGTCAATAAAAGCTGAGATTTTTTTAAAATTAAAAAATTAAGATTGTGATATTGAAACTCCCACAAAATTTGTGAATTAAAAATTCTATTTTCTTTATAATATATAGATAGATATAGATATAAATTTTAATTATTATTATATTTTCAAACCACAAATCCAAAATTCAATTTCCAATGCATGAGAAAATGAATAAATACAAAAAAAAAAAAAAAAGAACAGAAAAGAAAAAGAAAATTGAGATAGAGAAATTGGGGAATATTTTCCCCAACACCCCACTTGGAAGGGTTTGATCGGATTAAAGGATATTGTTGGAATTGTGGGGCTCCATAACAGGTTTCATTTTGATAATTTGAACCATTTAATGTATAGAATTCGTTGAGTACTATATACTTATAAAAAATCACGTTGATCGGATATTGATAATTATGTGAAAAATAAATTTTGTATAAAAAAAAATAAACGGTGAAAAAATAGATGATGGCAGAAATCTGATCCGATGAAATAGCTATCTATATTCGATCAACGTGATTTTTTACAGGTATTTAATAATCGATGATTTCTACACATTAAAAATTTCAAATTATTGAAAAGGAACTCGTGGTGGCCCTCACGGACCTAACAATACTCTCCAATCCGATCACAGACTGAAGAGAACCCAATTCTCACATGAAAATAGACCATTTAAGCATTTCTCAAAAATAAAAAAATAAAAAATAAAAATATCAAAAATCATAAAAATTCTATCAAAATTTCTACCAATCTTGATAGAACTTTTGATATTTCTAACATTTGAAAAAAAAAAACAAAAAAAGGTGTGGGTTCACAAGTAGGACTAACAGGTAAATAATTTTGATTAATAGGACCAATCTGTAAGTCCCTCATATTTAAAAGGGTACTCAGAGTCCGGATCCTCTCCTTGAGGAAGGTCCTTGAGTTCCTGCGGGCAACGGCTCAGATCAGCCGTTGGTCATCCAACGGCTGAGATTATTAAAAAAAAAAATAAAAAATAAATTATTTCGAGTTCCCGCCCAAACAAAACAACAACACAGCTGAGAGCCATATTCACTCTCACTCTCTCACTCTCTCAGTTTCACTCAGCCTTACAGTCGATCGTGGTCGTCCACCGAACCTACCCTCACCGGCGAACCGGCAACCAGTCCCAACGGCGACCCCACGACGACCACAGCTCCACCGCTTCAGCCTCTACGCTTCGTGAACTCCACCGCGACGACCAGCATCAGTTGAGCATAGATCACGAACCAGGTTACTTGATTTAATTAATTAATTTTCAGTTGTCTTCTCAAAACGCGGAGCATGATGAGATAGACTTTGAGTTCTTGGGGAATAGAACAGGACAACCCTACATTTTGCAGACAAATGTGTTCGCTGGAGGGAAGGGGGACAGAGAACAGAGAATATATCTGTGGTTCGACCCAACCACACAATACCACTCTTACTCTGTTTTGTGGAATCTCTACCTGATTGTGTAAGCTTTCACTTCCTGCTCCTGCCCTGCTTGCATTTTATTTTTGTTGTTTTCTTTTTCTGCTCTAATTTAAATATATATATATATAGTAGAATCGAATACAATCCTCTCCATGGGATCAAACTGATATTGTTCTTGCCCCTCTCTCTCTCTCTCTGGAGCTTAATGCGTTAGTATATATATTTTCTTTTAATGCGTTAGTATGAATAACTGAATTGCTTGTGTTATTAACTGCTATTTCTATTTATATTACAGTAATTTTCCTTAATTCAAGTAATTTTACTTATATGACATATGGTCCCATCTATAAACCACATAAACCAGATAAATTTCCTTAATTCCTTATGAATAATTCCTTATGAATAAACCAGATAAATAAACCAGATAATTCCTTATGAATAAACCAGCTAAGCCAGTTATGAATAATTCAATTTCCTTAATTCGAGTAATTTTCCTTATATGACATATGCTCCTATCTATAAACCAGATAAATGTTATCTATAAACCAATTTCAATTCATTTTCATCGCACTACAACCTAAGCAACCCTGCAATCTTATTAAGAAGCTCAACTATCATTAACTTAAGATTTTATTTATATGGGTTTTCAGTTGCATTTTGATATCGATATGGAACCTGAGAATGACTGTGATTGGAAGCCAAAATTGGGAATGATATTTGATTCTGAACAATGTGCGTATGAATTTTACAATACATATGGAGGAAGAATGGGGTTTAGCATAAGAAGAGATTATTGTAAGAAGGACAAGTTCACTAATCAACTTATTCATAGACTTTTGGTTTGCAACAAGGAGGGATTTCGAAAGGTTGAAAAGCGAGACCCATTGTCAAAAAACTCTAGAGCTGAAACTAGGACTGGGTGTGAGGCTCGACTTTATATTAAATTACATGAGGGTACTGGAAAATATGTTGTGACTGATTTCAAAGAAAAAAACAACCATGATCTTGTATCACCCGAGTGTGCCCACATGTTGCCGTCACAAAGAAAGATATCCGCTACCCAAGCAATTCAGTTAGATTTAGCGGCACAATTTGGTCTTCGGTTGGGCCAGTCTTTTGAACTCATGGGTAGGGAAGCTGGTGGAAGGCAATGTCTTGGTTTTACGAAATTAGATTCTAAAAATTATTTGAGAACCAAAAGACAACAAAGTTTAGCATATGGGGAAGTAGGCAACGCGTTGCAATACTTTAAAGAAAAATCTTTGCAGAATCCTTCATTCTTCTATGCTGTTCAATTAGATAATGAGAAGCAAATAACCAATATGTTTTGGGCCGATGCACAAATGATCATGGATTATGCCCAATTTGGTGATGTTGTCACATTTGATACGACTTACAAGTTAAACAAAGAACATAGACCGTTCGCATCTTTTGTGGGATTCAACCATCACAGGGAAACAGTTATATTTGGTGTAGCATTGTTGTATGATGAGACTGCCGAATCGTTTGTGTGGTTGTTTGAAAACTTTCTAGAGGCTATGTCAAGGAAGGCACCGAAAACTTTGTTCACCGATTAAGATGCTGCAATGGCTAAAGCCATACCCATCGTTATGCCTGACACAAGTCACCGATTGTGTACTTGGCATTTGATGCAAAATGCATTAAAACATGTTAACTGTTTGTTCCAAGATAAGGGGGTGAAGGGTGTACTAAATAAATTCTTCTTTCACATTGAAGATACAAATCAATGGAAATTAGAGTCGGCGGAAATGCTTGATAAATATGATGCGCATGAAAACCATTGGTTGAAATTGACTTTTGCGGTGAAAGAAAAATGGGGATGGCCTTATGTTAGATCAACATGGGCTGCGGGAATGAGTACCACACAACGTAGTGAATCTTTTAATGCTTTTTTGAAAGATTACATTCGTTCGAATTTCAACTTAAATGAATTCTTCATGCATTTCGAAAGGGTACTTTACGAGAAGCGATACAAGGAGTTAGAAGCGGGCTATGCTTTGTGCCAAAGGTTACCAAAGGTGAAAACAATAATAAAAATGTTAATTCAAATGGGTAATGTCTACACAAAAAAGATCTTTGAGGAATTTCAAAATGAGTACTTTCAATCCATTGAATCAGACATAGAAGCAATTGAATATGGCGAGGCTAGTACCATTTACACAGTTGTTGATGTTGGTAACAAACATGCAAGGAAAGTGAAGTTGGAGAGGGATGGCTCTTTGGGTTGTAATTGTACAAAGTTTGAAAGGGAAGGAATCTTGTGTTCTCACTCATTGAAGGTCATTAGAGACATATTGAAGATGAAAGAGGTTCCTCCACAATACATTCTAAAGAGGTGGACCAAACAAGCAAGAGCCGAAACTGTGCAGCACATTAAGGAAAATGACATTCAAGTAGATGTGAAATTCCAACAAGCTTTGCGGTATAAGACATTGATGACTGCATTTAGAGCAGTAGCAAGTAAAGCTGCTGAAACTGAAGAAACATATGATTTTTGTATTGCACAGCTTGCTACATTAGGTGCAGATGTTGAAGGCAAGTTAAGTGCTCATTTTGGTGTTGGAAATGAAGCACGTAATGATGATGATACCCAAAGCTTTGAAGTGGAATGCGAAGATGTGAATCATGTTGTGCAACCAAAAAGATTGAAGAAAAAGGTGGCAACTAGTAAGGGAATAGGAAACTTATGGAACTATACTTGGGTCTACAGATATGGTGTAATTGATTTTGGGCATGTTTGGCCTATGGTATTTAGTTTCAAACTCACAACACTACATGCTTAAGGGATTGAATGTGCAATGGCATTAAATATATCTATCTTTGGGCTTTAATTGCTGCTGTATCAATAATAATGTCTACCATTGCTTTGTATTCACAATTGATCACCCCCATTGGGTGCTTGTGTCCAACATGGCTGACTGTTACCACCCCTACTATGGCGGTAACTACTGGTACTGCCACAATTATTAACTGGTGTGTAGATATGTTATATTGAATCTCATGAATAATTTTTGACCCATGAGACTGCTAGTTATGAATAACTGAAATGCTTGTGTTATTAACTGCTATTTCTATCTATATTCAGTAATTTTCCTTATATGACATATGGTCCTATCTATAAACTAGATAAATGTTAATTATAAACCAATTTCAATTCATTTTCATAGCACTACAACCTAAGCAACCCTGCAATCTTATTAAGAAGCTCAACTATCATTAACTTAAGATTTTATTTATATGGGTTTTCAGTTGCATTTTGATATCGATATGGAACCTGAGAATGACTGTGATTGGAAGCCAAAATTGGGAATGATATTTGATTCTGAACAATGTGCGTATGAATTTTATAATACATATGGAGGAAGAATGGGGTTTAGCATAAGAAGAGATTATTGTAAGAAGGACAAGTTCACTAATCAACTTATTCATAGACTTTTGGTTTGCAACAAGGAGGGATTTCGAAAGGTTGACAAGCGAGACCCATTGTCAAAAAACTCTAGAGCTGAAACTAGGACTGGGTGTGAGGCTCGACTTTATATTAAATTACATGAGGGTAATGGAAAATATGTTGTGACTGATTTCAAAGAAAAACACAACCACGATCTTGTATCACCTGAGTGTGCCCACATGTTGCCATCACAAAGAAAGATCTCCACTACCCAAGCAATTCAATTACAAACGGCACCTAAATTTCAGGGACGTTTGGCCCGTGTACATACCCACAATGGGCTTTCTTGGTGGTTGCTTTCTTCTTCTTGTACTAGTTGTAGGACCCTTCAAATCTACCACAGGAAACAACAAATAGTAGTGAGAAAGACCTCGATGCATCGGTATCTCCCGGAACACCCTTCATCTCTCTCTCCCCCCTCCCTATCTCTCTCTCTCTCTCTCTCTCTCTCTCTCACTATACTACACAGATTCCCAATCCTCCACTACACTCTTCTAGATCTCTCTCTTCTCTCTTACTGTCTCTCACTGACTCCTCAATTCTCAAGTAATACCATTACACCATATTCTTTCTTGTTGTTTGAGCAATTGAGAAAGTCACCATCTCTCTCTCTCTCTGGTTCTAGTTTTTAGTCTATACCCATAAAACTCAAAACCATGATTTACCCATTAGTTCCTAATGGAAACCCATTAACCCCAATAAACTTAGCAATCCAAAACTCCTCACAAAGATCATTTTTTTCTTTCTTTTCTCACAATCAAAACCCCAAAAACACCATCGACAAGCCCTTAGGACCCAAAACTTACCTCCTCAAACCCATCACAATAACTCCAAATCAAGTCCCTCCCAATAAAACCCAGAAAAACAGGGTACATGAGGAGAGAAGAGGTTTTTCTCAAGTGGGTAGTCAGCAGATGTTGGTTTTGTGTGGATTTGGGTACTGGGTACAAGGTTTTAGGGGCTTCCCTTGGCTGGCTCTCAACTTCCACATGGCCCACAATCTCAATTTACATCCATCAACATTGCAGCTTGTGCAGAACACAGCTAACCTCCCTATGGTGATAAAGCCTCTCTATGGAATCTTGTCTGATGCTCTTTATATTGGTGGTGGTCACAGAATACCTTATATTTGTATTGGAGGTTAGTTGAATCCCCCAAATACACTTGTTAATCATTTTGGTTATACTAGCTGAAATTGATTTTTACCATAATGAGTTTGTTTTGTTCTTGTTATATTCTAAAAAGGATAATATTAATGATTGTTCAAAAGGTAATCATTATCCCCTGTCAATATTTGTAGTGAAATATGTAGAAAATGTGTATAAACAAATGTTATACTAATTTATAAATCTTACTAATTTTCAAAATTAGAATAAGACCTACTTCAATAATATGGTATAGATGTCATATCAGTTAGTAAGAAAAATTGGCAATGTTTGGAACACAAAATAAATCACATAGTATCTCCAATTCTTCACCTTGTCTTTCATAAAATTTAAATTTGATGAAAAAGAGCTTAAAAATGATCTCCAATCATTTCATCAAATGTTTATCAAATCAAGGAGAGGCATTTTTTTTTTTTTATCAAATTGAGAACTCTTATCAAATCTTTCATGAAAATTTTTAAAGATGAAGGAAGCATTGGAAATGATTTTTTTCCCCTATCAAATTTGATGAAAAGGGAAATTTGGGATAAAAGAAGAATTTTTAAAAAGATTTTGATAAAAATTTGATGAAAGGATTGGAGTGGTTCATATCAAATGAAGCTTTTTACTCAAATTTGGAATCAAATTAGACGAAAAAACTGGTGAAGGGTTGGAGATGCTCTATTACTTCACAAAAAATACAATGGAAGGTTGGCATTAAACCCAGTTATGGAAGGATCCACATGAAGAATAAATCTCAGTTTTATTTATCACAAAAAAAGAAAAAAGAAAAGAATAAATCTCAGTTTATCAATATGCTTTCTGTGACCCAATCTGTGTTCTAATTCTGTGTTCTTCGCATTAGTGAGGAAAAATTTATAAGATTTATTATTTTGTTTAGCATTGCTCATATAAAATATGTAAAATTATTTGAGGATGCTTGAATAGTGCATTATAGTTCTAACTATTTTGGCATTGTCTCTGTCTTGTTGTACGCCCATAGGGACATTTTAAAAATTTAGTATTTGGAGCTGTTTTCTCATTGAATGTTTACATTGCTGCTGAACACTCTGATGTTTTAGTTTGCTTTGATAGCCTTAAACTGGGGGTTGAATATGTTCTTGCTCTTTTCTCTGTTTTGGTCTCTATGGTTTGATGTTATTACACCTTTTTACCTTTGACTTCATATGCTAACTTCTTGTTAAAATAGTTATGTCAATAGAAAATTGCATGTTTAAGGTAGATGCCAACTTTCAGATTTGTCATCAATAGAAATAGTTTGAGAAAATTTGACCTGTTTTAAAATAGTAGTCTTTGTAGTAAAGAGCAAGCAACAACTCTTACTTTTTTTGGCCTTTTATTTGTGACTTTGCTTAATTTACCGGGAAGTTTAAGATCAAGTCTTAATAAAATTTATTAGAGTACAATGTACATAATCAAGTTGAGAGAAGTCAATTTGCATTATTATAGCAAGTATTGGGAGTTCAAAAATGCTCTAGAAGCTTAATTCAGTTTGGCATTTAAAATTCAATACTTCATTGAAAACTTTGATTATGTCATAATTAAATTTACATTCAAACTTAAATGTTTTGCACGTATTCCCGCATGTTGTGTTCTGCATTTAAAAAAAGAAGAAGTTGTGGACATTAGGTAGCCCACTCCAATCATGGTATACCTATTTCTGATTGTAAACAATATCAAGATTCATACAAGCTGTGAAAATCAAATCCTCATTCTAGACAGATTTAGGACATTAAAAGATCTAATAAGTTGGATCTTTTGCTCATTTTCAGATCAAAGAGCAATGCTGAATTGATTTCATGAATCTGTCTTGCTTGATAAACAGCCCACTAGTTGACCAATGTGATGCATATGGACAGAGATGGAAAAAAGAAGAAGAAGAAGAAGAAGAAGAGAAAACCCAATCAAAGCCCTAAATTTGTAGCCGTTGGAATCCCAAATGACAGCCCTAATTTTGAAATTCCAAATCTAAAAGCCCTAAATTTTTTCAGACGTTTCAAAATCCCAAATCAAAGCCCTAATTTTGAAATTCTAAATCTGAAAAGCCCTAAATTTTTTTAGAAATTCCAACTCTAAAAGCCCTACAATTTTTCAGACTCCTAACTTCTTAATTTCAGACGTTTGAAGACCAACCTGGTTCGTGATCTATGCTCAACTGATGGTTGTCGTCGCGGTGGAGTTCACGAAGCGTAGAGGCTGAAGCGGTGGAGCTGTGGTCGTTGTGGGGTCGTCGTTGGGACTGGTCGCCGGTTCGCCGGTGAGGGCAGGTTCGGTGGACGACCACGATCGACTGTAAGGCTGAGTGAAACTGAGAGAGTGAGAGAGTGAGAGTGAATATAGCTCTCAGCTGTGTTGTTGTTTTGTTTGGGCGGGAACTCGAAATAATTTAAATTTTTTTTTTTTTTTAATAATCTCAGCCGTTGGATGACCAACGACTAATCTGAGCCGTTGCCCGCAGGAACTCAAGGACCTTCCTCAAGGAGAGGATCCAGACTCCCTCCATAACACAAAACAAAACTCCCCTCTTCACCAGAAATGGAAAAATGGAAAAACTCCCAAAATTTTTCTCTCTCCTCTTTCTCTCACTATCTTAGTCTTTCTTCTCCCTCTATCTCCGCCGCTTCGTCTGCAATCTTAGACACCACTTTTCACTTTCTCTCTCTAAAATTCACATTTTGATCACCCCCTCCAAAAATCACTACCATCACTTTCTTTCTCCTTCTTTCTCGAGAAAATGGCAAAACCTCATCTGGGTTCCATGCTTTTCTCTCTCTTCTCCCTCCTTTCTTTCCTCGTCTCGGTTCAGTCTCAGTCCAGCTCAACCGACGCTTCAGTAATGCAGGACCTGAAAACCAGCCTCAACCCACCGAGTTCACTTGGCTGGACCGACTTAAACCCCTGCAATTGGCAACACGTAGCTTGCTCCAACGACGGCCGAATCACCCGGATCCAAATCGGGCATCAAAACCTCCAAGGCTCTCTCCCTCCCTCAATTAACAAACTCACTGCCTTACTGAGTTTAGAGGTCATGTCCAACCAACTCATTGGTTCGCTCCCGAGTTTCGCCGGGTTGAACTCGCTCCAGTTTCTCTTGCTCAACGACAACAGCTTCTCTTCCATTCCCTCCGATTTCCTTTCCGGCTTAACCTCTCTCCAAGAAGTATTTCTCGATAAAAACCCCTTTTCGGCTTGGCAAATTCCGGTAACTTTCCGAGACGCCTCAACTCTCCAAGTCTTCTCGGCCGTTTCCGCTAACATCACCGGAAAAATCCCCGATTTTCTCGGCGGCGACACCTTCTCGAGCCTCACGACTCTTCACTTGTCTTTCAATTACCTCGAGGGTGAGCTTCCTGCGAGCTTTTCGGGTTCTCCGATTCAGTCTCTGTGGCTAAATGGGCAGATGAGTAGTTCTAAGCTCAATGGCTCAATTGCTGTGATTCAGAACATGACTCAATTAACCGAAGTTTGGTTACAATCCAATTCCTTTTCGGGCCCTTTACCGGACATTTCGGGCCTTGCCATGTTGCAGAACTTCAGTGTGAGAGACAGTGCGGTTACGGGTCCGGTACCGGATTCTTTTGTGAATCTTCCATCGCTTAGGGTTGTGAATTTGACCAACAATCAATTGCAAGGTCCAACCCCGAAATTTCCCCCTTCTGTTGGGGTTGATTTGATACCTGGAACAAATAGCTTCTGCTTATCTGATCCCGGAGTTCCGTGCGATCCCCGAGTGAATACATTGCTTTTGACTGCGCAATCTGTTGGTTACCCGACTGTTTTTGCCGCGAATTGGAAAGGTAATGATCCCTGTGCAGGGTGGTTGGGGATCAGTTGTAGTAACGGAAGCATTACTGTTGTTAATTTTCAGAAAATGGGTCTTACGGGTACGATTTCTCCGAATTTCTCTTCGATTACTTCGTTGCGGATACTGATTCTTGCTAATAATAATTTGACGGGTACTATCCCGAATGAGCTTACAACTTTGCCTAATCTTAAACAATTAGATGTTTCCAACAATCAGCTTTATGGGAAAATTCCATTGTTTAAGAGTAATGTGCTTGTAAAAACTGATGGCAACCCTGATATTGGGAAGGATAGTGGTGGTCCGACTCCGGGGACACCCGGAACCCGAACACCCCCAGGGAGTACACCTAGTACACCCTCGAATGATGGTAGGAAGACTTCGGTGATTGGTGGTGTTTGTGCGGTTTTCGCTTTTGGGGTCGGATTGTTCTGTGTTTACAGGGCTAAACGAAAGCTTTCTGGTAGGGTGCAGAGTGAAACATTTACTCATGGAAATGGTGGACCCAGTAACATTCATGTTATTGAATCTGGAAGCATGGTGATCTCGATTCAAGTTTTGAAGAACGTGACTAACAATTTTACCGAAGAGAATATATTGGGGAGAGGTGGATTTGGAACTGTTTACAAAGGGGAGTTGCACGATGGGACTAAGATTGCGGTTAAGAGGATGGAGTCGGGAGTGGTAACTGGGAAGGGTTTGGATGGGTTCAAGTCTGAGATAGCTGTGCTTACGAAGGTCCGACATCGGCATTTGGTTGATCTTCTTGGATATTGCTTGGATGGAAACGAGAGGCTAATAGTTTATGAGTACATGGCTCAAGGAACTCTTAGTAGGTTCTTGTTTAACTGGAAGGAGGAAGGGTTGAAACCCCTTGAGTGGTCTAAGAGGCTGACCATTGCTCTTGATGTGGCCAGAGGTGTTGAGTACTTGCATGGTTTGGCCCATCAAAGTTTTATTCATAGAGATCTTAAACCATCCAACATTCTTTTAGGAGATGATATGCGTGCTAAAGTAGCGGATTTTGGACTTGTTCGTCTTGCACCGGTTGGAAACTCTTCAGGTCTAACTAAATTAGCAGGAACTTTTGGATATCTCGCACCAGAATATGCAGGTACTCTTTTATAAATTAAAAATTATAGACATTGAATTTTGATACAAAAACTCAATCTGAATAATTTAATATATTTTTAAAATTCTGAGCCCAAGTAATAGCACCTTCTTTTGAAAATGAGAGAACCACAATATCCAACATTTTTTTTTTATAGAAATTTTGTATCGAAGTATTTGTTTATCACAACTACTTTCATTTTTTCTCTATAAGCTTTTGAAAGGCAAAAAAAAAAAGAAAAAAAAAAAGGTATGTTATGCCTGAAACAAAACAACAATCAAGGTGATTTTTAAATTAAAAAATGACGTTTACAAATAATTGTTTGGACAAATTATAAAAATAGTTCATGTATTTTGATTCTTCTGTCATTTTGGTATCTATAATTTCAATTGACTTGATTTTTATCTTAAATTTATAATTTTGTTTTAATTTAATCTAATTAGTTATAACTCTTAGCATTTTTTTTATGAAATATATATATATATATAAGTGGCATGTTTCATATTTTTTAAAATAAAATTATAAATTTACTAAATTCAATGAGTTAAATTTAAGTAATTCAGTGTTTTTTTTTGTTAAAATCACTACGACATTATCAATTGGACGAAATTGATATAAAATTTAAAATTAAGGATTAGAATTGAGCCAATTGAAGATAGAGGGACTAAAATAATACAAGAGGTAAAATATAAGAATCACGATATAATTTGCCGTAATTATTTTACAATATATTTTGTGTTAGAATTGCATTTGTCAAAAAATTAGCTAACAAGTCATGAGTTTCCACATAGTTGAATTTAAGTAAATGCTTTTACTTTTCTATTCTACAAAAGTAATTATCCAAGAAAATATCCTTGATATGTTTTAGAAATAGGATTGGATTTATATTACTGTGTACAAAGTGGTCCCTTTTTTTGGTCTAACTATCACATTCAATGTTTACTCCTGAAACCAACTTAAAAAAATTTAGAGACAATGATTTAAGGAAAACATTATGGTATGCATTTCTTAAAAGATGTGTCTCATTTACATTTTATAATTAAAAAATAAAATAACATAATTTTATACTTTTTGAATTATAACTAAAAATATATTTTTTTATTATAACTAAACACAGCATGAGGTATAATTAAAAATCTCATTAGTTGTAACTAAAATAATCTCATAACTAAATAATAAAATGATATAACTAGGAGTGCTAATGGTACACCCTAGGCTTGGGTGCGGGTATCAGATGCGAGTGCGTATCTAAGAGTCGGACATTTCAAAATTAAAAATTAAAGAATAAATAAATATAGAATATTTTTAATTTATTTATATAAATTTTTTTTTTAATTCATATATATATTATAAATAAAAAAAATATAACAAATAAAGAATAACAAATTATGTTAAAATAAATAATAAATAAAAAATAGATGATTTGTTTTATAGATTTTATTAGAATTTTTATTATTATATATGATCTCTATTATCAGATTTTTACGATTTGCGATTCGATTTACGATTCGATTCACGATTTTTGCAAAATCGATACAAATTTATGGGTGAATATATTTTGAAAGTGAATCCTTAGTCAATCGCACGATTCACAATCGATTTACGATTCTATTCACTTTTTACGATTCATGCAATTTTTGAAATTATCGTGTTTAACATATTTTCGATTATTTTTCCTCCATATTTTTAGTGCAAATGACATAATACAATTTTTAATAGCATTTAATACCAAAATAACTGACATATACATGCATGATTTGTTGTTATTTTAGTGATTATAAAATTTTTAATAGGATTCAATCAGATTCAGTCACACCCAACATATTTCTAACCTTCTTTCTCATTTTTTTCCTTTTAAAAATTCAAAATATATTTTCTAAAGATGTTTAAGATTAAAGTTACACTGTGAATTATCTATTGCTATTCTATTAAATTAAATATAATTGAATATTATATGTGAGAGGTCAGTTATATCTCTTAAAATATTTTAGGCTTTAAAATAAAAATTCTAAATAATTTTTTCTTATTATTTGCAACATGTTAACTTAAAAAAATATGTATACCACCAAATATCATCATTGTTAATTATTGTTACTTTAAAAATTGATAGTTTGTCTATTTGGTTACGGTCTTTATTAATAATAGTTGATAAGAAATATCTATAATAATAAATAAATAAATAAAAAGTAAGATGGTAATCTTCAATAGAAACCTTTGTTAATTTCTTTTCTATGAAACTACGTGATTATTATTCAAAATAACATTTTTATTGATTGAAGTTTAAATATTTCATATTCATAAGATATATTTAACACTAAGTGTGTAAATATATATTTTTAAGTAATTTTAAAAAAGTGACTGAATCTTTACGATTCACAATTCGATTTGATTTGATTCGCGATCCTTTATGAGGCCATGTCGATTAACGATATGAATGCTGATTTGACAACTATTTAGATGATTTTATGGAATTTCTTTAGAGAGAGAGAGAGAGAAAGAGAGAGAGAGAGAAGATGAAGGCGAAGGTAAAGTTGAAGGGGCCTCGAAGTTGAATGGGAAGTCGAAGCCAACGACAAAGGATCGAAAGGGCCATGCTTGTCGAAGTAGTCGAACAGAGGATCGAAGCTAGCGACGGGTTCTCTTCTGGCTCTCTCTTTTATTTCTTTTGCATTTAGGGAAAAATAGAGCTGTATCTATTTATAAAGAGCCATATTCCGACCATATCCCGCACTCATACCCGTGTCGTATCGTTTCGACATAGTACCTCCCAAATTTCATAGCCTGTGTAACATGGAGTACACCTTTTTTAAGGATGTGCATGTTAGAATTTCCCATGATTTAATGACATTAATAAAATAGATATAAAGTTGAACTAAAAAAAGGATTCATGCCACAAAGTTTAGTTCTAAAATAATGTTTCATCTAATTAAATAGCCTCTTCTATTTTTTTAATTGATATTTAAAATTTTTACTTTTGTGATTACTTTTTTGATTGCATCGTCCATTAGGGTGCACACTATACAATTTACATTAAATAAGTGCCATGATATTAGCTTCTATGTTATATGGATTTGGGTACGAGTGTTAAGTGTTGAGTGTTGAGTTTGAGTGTGTATCTAGAGGTCGGATTCATTAAATCTCAAAGGATAAATTACACTGACATCCCTTGAAGTTTCTGTTTAATACAGATTCTGCCATCACATTTGAAAAATTACACTTACTCCTATGTCAGATTAAAATGACATATTTGTTTATTGGCCTTTATACATGATATCGGTGGGCCCACAAGAGGGTCCGGCCCACAACTCAGGACCCAGCCCACGGACTAGATAATAAAGCCTAGTAATCTTGAAAAATCAATGATGGACCAGGACCAATAGCATTCAAACACTTGTCAAGCAGAGGTCTAGCCACATAAGTAGATAAAGATCCTGCAAAGTTGTTGCACCTATATATCTACCATTAATGAGGCTCTCATAACATTAAATACGACAACCCCTTCATGTCGGAATATACAGACCCACCATGAACGACGCAAGCTAGAATATAGACTTTCGGCTAACACGACAGTCTGGAGTGGACAAGGAAATGATGAGCAAAGAATATAAGTAAGCTTTCGAGATGCATTAAAGGTTAAGTTCTTCGTTCCCTTTTTCTCTCTCTACACAGTCAATCTATCCTATTTTAACTCGATCGTCGGAGGGTCCGCCGGGGGATTACCTCCCCCTTTGGACGTTTTTGCAGGCACATCCTGTGGGCTTTAAGACTAGCAAAGCCATTAGAAGTGTGGATCAGTCCAACCCATCTTCTGTTGGCACCGTCTGTAGGAATCTCTATTTCGGAAAGACAGTTGTGTTCATTGTCACCAGAAGGAACCCCACAATCATCCACCTTCTACATCAGAGTGGATAGTCACGACTAGATCCATGGCTTCCCAACACAACGTTGGTAACCCCGAAGCTGAGCCCTCCAACCCAAATAACTCGCATTCATATTTTGCAGAACTCACCAACAGCATCAACCGACTTACTGAGCAGAACCAAACCCTGATCAGTATCTTACTCCAGTGTGACCTGCCTATCCCGCCTCCACCACAGCCAATAGTTCCTCCGTACCCAGAACAAGCCCACCATCAACATCAATTCCCACCACACGTGCCTCAAGGAACATTTCCACCCTTCACCTCGTGGCTTCAACTTTCGAATCTTGACGGTTTGCACCCTCCTCCGTCAGGCTCGTAGCCTCGTCAAGATATGCCACCAGCTTTCCATAACCATCCCTTATCACACCATACAGTCACCCATGAAGGTAAGATTAGCAGTGTTCAACCCCTGATCCCTGTTTGTGGGGATAATGCTCCCGTCTGGGATGAAGAACTGTGGGCCATGAAACTCCAACTACAGGGGGTCATGCAGAACATGTGACACAAGACTTCCTCCACCATCAACTCTCTTTTTACTGCTTCCATCAGGGATAAAACTCTCCATTCCAAGTTCAAAATGCCATCGATCGACACATTTGGTGGTACCATCGATCCCGTCGACCATGTAAAAGCATATCAGACACTTATGATCTTACATGCCTTTCCAGACGAAATCATGTGTTGTGCTTTCTCTGTCATGCTGAAGGGATCGGCGTGCCTTTGGTTCAATCAGCTCCCCTCAGACTCAGTTACTTCCCAGCTCAGCAAATCCTTCTTAAGCCATTTCATTGGTGCTCAGCGATAACGACATCCAACCACCTAACTGCTAAACATCGGGTAGACAGAAAGGGAGTCGTTACGTAGCTATGTCACCCACTTTAGCACCGAAGCCCTACAAGTGGAGGAACACAATGACAAGGTCATTCTCACAGCCTTCATGGTCGATTTGCGCTCGTTCGATTTCTTCTTCTTCCTCTCCAAAAATCCCTCGACCACTATGGCCTTCATTCTTGCCAAAGCCCAAAAATACATAAACGTCGAAGACTCTCAGGCAACTCACCAAGACTCTACATCCAAAGCC